AACTGGGCGGAGGAGAGGGCACAGGAAAGAAGAGGGCCAGAGCTCCGGCTTTGGGAAGGGGCAAAGCCGTGCCACCGCCGGCTGCGGAGCCAATAGCTGGTGCCCGGGGCGAGCCCAGCGCCCGCAGCCGCAGCTGGCTGGCGGGGACCTGGGCAGAGGACGGGGCAGAGGGACGCGGCCCCTTTGTTCGCCCCCCCTCACTCACCCACAGTCGCCAGGGTCTCCAAATCCTCCAGCTTGCAGGCGTGGGGCTCGGGCGGCGCCGGGGAGCCGGAGCTCGCGGGGCTGGAGGAAGGGGCAGGCTGGGGCTCGCCCGTTCCCGCCGCCTCGCAGCCACCGGCGCTTTTCGCCCCCACTTTGGCCTTCACGGCGCTGAGCGTCTCCATGGGGTCGGGGGGCGCGAAGTTCGCGTCTCCGGAGCCGGCGCGGCCGCTCCCCCTTCAGCAGCAGCAGGGGCGGCTGCCCCGCCGGGCCAGTTCCTGGTTCAGCCTCTCAGCTGCTGCCGGGCTGCCCAGCATCGCGCCCCAGCCGCCGCCGCCTTCCTGCCCCGCACCACAAGCAGCAGCAGCCGCCCCCGCTGCGCGCCCTGCCTTGCTCCCCGGGCCGCCTCTCCCGCCTCCCGGAGCCGCCGCGCAGACAATGGGCAGCCCGGGCGGGCGAGGCGAGCGCGGAGCCGCACGCGGGGCGGGAGGAGGCGGAGCGAGGTTGGGTTTCCTGCAGCTGCGGCACAGACAGTCCCGGCGAGGGAGGGAGGCGCCCGCGGCACCAGATCGTGGAGCGGGGTCTCTGCTCATCCCCGCCGCCCTGCGCAGAGCCAGCCCACCGGCCTCGCCCCACCTGGGAGAGTCTGGGGAGGGGGTGGCGGGACAAGGCGCCCTCCCTGCGCTTCCCCCACATGGGGGTGGGCGCAGTAGCTGGCTGGTGCCTTCATAATCTAGATGCCCGCCCCGCCCACACGTTTCAAACTGCGGCTCTTCCTCCTAGCTGGCGAGCCCCACCTCCGGGGATACCTGAGGCTGCCGCTCAGTCTCTCACCACCCCTGCCACCTGGTAAACCAGACAGGACTGGGCAGGTTCGGGGGGGGGCTTCCCCTGCGGCGTCCAGGCTGCGAGTTGGCTTCTCACCCCCGCGCGCTCCCCCCGGCTAGAGAAGTGTCTGGGAAGAGAAAAGTTCTGATCATGTCACACTGGGACATCACAGCAATCAATCCTTCTAGGCACAGCTATTCCCACTTTCTATGCTTCGCAAGTTTGCATATGGTGTTAAACGATTGCATAGTGTTCAGTGGCAGACATATTTAACCCCTGACATGCTTTACATAGTCGGGGGTGAGGTATCGCAATAAATGCCCTCAGACATGGACTAGAAAGGGCCCTGACTTCTCTGGCTGGCACAGGGTTAAAATATTTGCCTGCAATGGGTACTACCAAAGGTACAAACATTTCCCGTTACAGTTGTGTTTTTACACTTAAAACATTATGAAAAATTAATACATTCATCCACATTAAAATACACTATAATGTATGTGTAAACTAACTACTGTATAATAATACTTAAAGTAGATGCAGGTGACTACACAAGGTGTAAGGCAGTGAAGAATTAGGCCCATTGCCTTTGTGTCAGGGTAGCCCTCAACATTGATGCAAAAATGGTTACTAATTATAATAAAAGTAACTTTAGGTTATTACAAACTTTTCTGCACCTTTGCTAAATTTTAAGAGCTACTTTTGTTATTTTCATAAACATGATACTGCTTATTAATATATGTTTCAGAGTAGCAGCCATGTTAGTTTGTATCCGCAAAACTGAGTACACCTTAACTGATTACTCTCCTTATAGTGTGTATGGTAACACCCTTTGTTTCATGTTCTCTCTGTGTATATATATATCTTCCTACTGTATTTTCCACTGCATGCATCTGATGATGTGGGCTGTAGCCCACAAAAGCTTATGGTCAAATAAATTTGTTAGTCTCTAAGGTGCCACAAGTACTCCTGTTCTTATTAATACAGTAAGCCACTTCCTTATACAAATATTGATATTAATTGGACATAAATAGGTAATTAATTAGTTACCTGCCAATGCTTGAGCAACTCCTTACTATAAGAAGAACCTCTACAAGGATTAGTAAGGGGGTGGGGGGGAACACAATATCTTCTTTCATGACCATTTAAGTTTAAAGACTCTTAAACAATAATTTGTTTAAAAAAGATTATTCTGAAAGCTGAAAAACCTTTACATAGGAAATAGGCATGTTTGGACTCATTTAAAAAAGAATTTCAACTCTTATTAAACCCAATATAACTAAAGGGATCTCAAAATGAGCTGAATAAAAGAGTTAAAACTCTAACTTTAAATATGTCCTAAGAAATTCCCACCACAGACAGTCATTTACAACTCTGCTACATATGTATTACCAGACAGCATCTTCAGCTCATGAATATGCAATCAAGACCTTCCCATGAAGGGGATGAGGTAATCAAAAGGTAACAGCAGCTGATATTTGAGCCCAGTCTTTTACCCTTAATGAGAATAGAGAAAGAGAGCAATATAAAACTCTGAGTTGAGAGACAAATAGAATAGCACTTTCATCTGAGTACACTCTTCTCAATTTAGCCTGTTCATCTCACCTCTACAAGCAAGCAAAATAGCAACAAGGCACTAAACAAAGAAGGTGATAACACAGCCTCAAGATGAAGCAACCATCTAGCTCAGTGCTGTTTCTGTGATGTGATCACCAAGATTTTTGAGATGCAGTTTGCAAAAGCACTGTCAAGGGATTAGATGTATTTTTTTCTTGAAGTGGTTTTAATGGAATATTGAAATGCCATTGTAATGTAAGATACTAATAGTTTCTCCTGTTAAACACTAGACTGTACTCCTGGAAAGGGGAAATAAGTCAGACTTGGTAAACAAAGAGAAATAGCAACATTTGATTTGAGTTTAAAATTCTTAATATTAATTAGTTGGCTCCTCAAATGGCTTCTTTGTATGTTGTTTTTTGTTTGTTTGTTTGCTTTTTTAAGGACTTGGTGAAGATCACTTACCTCTGCCCATTTATAAACTGTTTAGGTTATCCATGATAAACCAAACTGGATTCACTAACCCTAAACAAAATTCCTTTGCCTGTCTATAAACCTGTAGCAAAAACAATGAGGAGTCCTTGTGGCACTTTAGAGACTAACAAATGTATTTGGGCATAAGCTTTGGGCAAAACCCACTTCATCAGATGCACGAAGTAAAAAATACAGTAAGCAGTATAAATATTACAGCACATGAAAAGATGAAAGTTACCTTACCAAGTGGGGGGTCAGTGCGAACGAGGCCAATTCAATTAAGGTGGAAGTGGCCTATTCTCAACAGTTGACAAGAAGGGGTGAATATCAAGAGAGGGAATATTACTTTTGTAGTGCTAACGAGGCCAATGTAATCAAGGTGGACGTCACCCATTTCCAACAGTTGACAAGAAGGTGTGAGTATCAGCAGAGAGGAAAATTACTTTTTGTAGTGACCCATCCACTCCCAGTCTTTATTCAGGCCTAATTTGATGGTGTCCAGTTTGCAAATTAATTCCAGTTCTGCAGTTTCTCATTGAAGTCTGTTTTTGAAGTTTTTTCTTGAAGAATTGCCACTTACACAGATACTCCCCTAGAACACCAACTAGGGGTATTCTATCTGCTACCCAAGATCCATAAACCTGGGAATCCTGGATGCCCCAGCATCTCAGGCATTGGCACCCTGACAGCAGGATTGTCTGGCTATGTCGACTCTCTCCTCAGGCCCTATGCTACCAGCAATCCCAGCTATCTTCGAGACACCACTGACTTCCTGAGGAAACTACAATCTATTGATGATCTTCCAGAAAACACCATCTTAGCCACTATGGATGTAGAAGCTCTGGGTACCCACATGGCCCCACAGTATGCCAACATTTTTATGGTTGACTTAGA